CTGCTCTGGTTCACCTTACCATGACAGACACGGATGTCACGGTAAGGTGAACCACTCAGCGGACCGATCAGCGAGCCTCGAGCAGTGTGTCTCATTTCCCTGCTTTTCATTTTAACCACGCGAGCACATTTCCATTTCAGAACTTGAAGCGTACTAAATACAACACCAACAATCCTGCAAAACAATCTTACAATGTTCCAAACCAGCATCTTTTTTGTTTTTCCTTTTTTTATTGCCTGTGTCTGCATTCTCTCCTTTCGACATGTTGTGAATGATGCAAAGTTAATGAGTGAACTATGTGTCAATCCTCCATAACACATTTGTATAAAAAATAGGGATCAGGAACAACAGTTTGCGATATTTGTAATACAACAAAAAGTAAATACAGGAGCAGTATGTACAAAATCTGGCCAAAAGTGGTACTGCAACCTCTCCCACTCTCCCTGACTCAGGTTGCCAGATATGCCGACTAATCCAGCCGGGACCATAAAATCTGAATGATTAATTAATGATTTAAAAACGTGACGAGACCTTTTTTAAATCTGCAGCCAGGTGTCACTTTACCAGTGAGATTAGCTCGACGACGCTGTGAGTTCTGGCAACCTGGATCACAGACTTTCTGGTTGGTAAACCAGAAAACAATAACAAGATTTACGGGCTCTGAATCTCATTTTCAAATTTGAATATCTCAGCCGAACTACTATTATCAGTTAAAGAAGTATTTTGAAAAGCAATTTATTAATGCCTTTTGAGTCATATTAGGGCCATTTAATAACAAATTGCAACTTTAAGTATTGTTTTAAGCCTAATGTATGGGTTAAAAAACAGATGAATCAGCTGTATTAAGGTTAAGAGCTTTGATATATCAACATAATGATGTACTTGCTTGATGGAGCTGAAGTTATCAGAATTAGGATTTCTTAATTTCTCACTAGCTCCTAACTAACAAATGGAAATAGTGTGGATTGTAATCTAATAAGTGAATTCTGCAGATTATGAGCTTTAAATGTCTAAGGTATAGATGGTTTTCCATCACGTGCTTATTACCCATGATGCTTTGCGCGAACGCCATGTTGTGGGTCTGGCTTATATTGCACGGATCATTTGTCACGGATTATTTGTCACGGATCATTTGTCCCCAAGTCATCTAAAGCCACGAATTCGGCCGACGCTGACCGCGTTAAGTATATTGATACACTGGAGTAATCTGTGAGGCAAGATCCTTGGAGAAATTGAGTGATCGGAGATTTGGATCCGTATGAAATGCGGTGAGACCAGTGGACTTTGCCAGAAATGGCTTACTTTCACTTAACAGTTTTACAATTAAAAAGGTCATGATGTATATGATGCAATATTTATTTAAATCAATATAAGCAGTTGATATCACAGGCCGTAAATCACTTCTGTCTACCACCCTTTCCCCCTCCTCCTCCTCTCATTCATTTAGAGGGGGTCGCTTGATGCCCATATATACTGTACATGGTATCACAGTCAAATCGCAGTTCTGAATATAAACCACACGCGCACAGATTTAGCTAGCTCTTACCTGTTACGAAATGGTCAGAACAGAACTTATAGTGTCGTTTTTCAGGGGGTTAGGGTTGAATCTCTCTCAGTTGATTCTTGCCAACTAAAGGGTTCTTCTCTCCGTCCAGAGTTGCTCTGTGTCGCTCCCCTGGCTCATAATAACCTTCGGAATCTCCCCACAATCTGCACGGTTACTGCACCCCAAAACGGCGCAGGTAGTCGGGATGTTTTAGCGCAAAAAAAGTGATGTGTTACGCGTTGTTTACCTACAACTATCGGCGGCTAGACCCACAAAATGGCAAACTGTGGAATTGTGGGAAGTGCGTGACGTCAATGGAAAACCATCTATATTAAGTGGGCTTGTTCACACTAAAGGGCACAAAAGTGTGACTAAAGGCCAAAAATTAGATTTTAATAATCAGAAGATATTTTATGTTTTTCATGTTTCCAAACACCTCCTCTGTTCATTAGAAGTTGCTAGAACATAACTGTTTTATACATTAGACAAGTTTCCTATAGCGGCCCTGTTTATTTTATGTAACGGACGTGATGATTTGACGGAATGAGCTTTGTTGAAGTTTGATAGGTATTTTCAGATGTCCACATTTGATTCAAAGATTCTATTTTTTTTCACAAAGTAGATGCAAAGTGATACTTTCATATTGTCAAGCAATTAAATGTGAAAACAGACCAGATTTTTTTTTTCTCATGTTTAATTTTTAGAGAAAAGAGGACCATCCTCATCACGTCCGTTATACATTTTTCAGGGGTCATTTAATTAATTAATTAATTTTTATTTTTTCACGATTCCTTTTTATAATCAAGTGATTTACTTATGTTGTGTTAACCATGTAAATCTTGTGGGATTTCATCTTCTGCTTTTTCAGACTGAGGACATTTTATTTTCTATGTAACTGGCGTCACAGTAGAATGGTCCAATCAGAGGCTAATTTGGTCGTTTAAAATGTTGCTGAACATTTTTATGTCAATCTTTCCTTTTGATTTTTTCCACACTATCTCTTCAATGTGTCTGTGTTTGAAATCTTTTTTCCAATCTATGAAAGTAATTTTAGTTTTTAAGTTTTAACCTTTTAAAGTCCAGATACTTCAATTGTCACTTTACTGTGACCACACTCACGTCTAGATTGGCAGAGCTAAAATTTGAGACACACAGAAAGACAATCTAAAGGTAAAGTGTTGCCTCATTAAAAAATGTCATTGATACATCATTACTATCTGAACATTGAGAGTGCAATGTCTTCTTTGAGCTGTATGCATATAAAAAAGCTGTACACGAACCAGCATGTAAACTATGATTCAACTTTTCGCCTGGATAGACATGAGAGACCCTTCCATCTGATTTCACTCTTTCATTCTGTCACTGTGGCTCTTTCCTTCCCTCCGTTCTGCCCTGCACTCCTAATTTGTTTTAGCTCTCTATCGCAGTCTTCCACACCATCTCACTAACACCACAGCCTGGACTTTTCTCCCTCACTTGCTTTCAATTAGTCCTCTTGTCCATTCCTTATCAGGTGACTCTAATCCCACCAGTTCTCCCTTGATCTCCCAATTTCTCACTTCCTCTTTTTCCCATGAGTTTTTGATTGCTTTTGGTTGCCAACAGATTTCAGCACATTTTTGTTAGGGATCATCTTGTCCCTCTCTGATACACATTCCCGGGGCTTCACCTTATATACAATGCTGTCCTGCCTAGCATTCAAAACCCCTACAGTGACTTGGTTGTAAATTGTTTTAGTTTACAAAGAAGTTTAAAAATCAAAAAAGTTCATATCTACATTGTAAATGTATACTTTTATTGTATCTTAGCGAGGCTTTAATGCAAACCAGTGCCCTACAATGCAAATGCTTTTCCTTTCTCATTTACAGAACCAAAATGCATCCTTTTTGATACATCAAAAATAATATAAGGATTAGCAGATCATATTTTCAATCAGAGGCAAAGTTGTGTGTGCATGGAACCCTAAGGGTGGCACGGTGGCTGAGTGGATAGCACTCTCGCCTCTCGGCAAGAAGGTCCTGGGTTCAAATTTTGGTCGTAACAGGAACTTTCTGAGTGAAGTTTGCATGTTTTCCCCGTATCTGCGTAGGTTTCCTCCGGGAGCTCCGGTTTCCCCTACCACTAAAAATATGTACAATAGGTATGACTGTAATGAGTGAGTGAATGAATGGTGTTGGTTGGAGGCTTTGATGCACCAGTGTGTTCGCTGTCTTGCTTCCAGAATCACCGTGTGTGGAGAGAATGAAACAATATCTGATCTGAACATTGTAAAGTGTTATGGGTGAACTTGGTCTGGAAAATATGCAGCATAAATAAACATGACTTACATTACATTACTTACTAACTTTACAAAGCAGTTCCAGACACAGGGCAAGTACGGCCCTGTGTCTGGAACCACACACAAAATCTCTGAACAGGAGTCATGGCCTGCATATATACTACATTACGTCACTACTGCTCTGACTGACTTTGGTCATAAATACAACTCTCATTTAACAACTAACGGTCAATCACTCTCGGAATTGACCAGTACTGAAGATAAATTACTAATCGGTTTTGGAAAAAATGTCATTGGTGCGTACCTAATCTTCATTGATCCAGCAGGTGCAAAAGAACCAGGTCAAAAGTTCTGAAAAAAACATTAATCAAAACTCAACACAACAACACATCCTCCTCTCCTTCAATCTTAAATATGGGAGATAAATGATACAGATGTTATTTCAGTCATGACAATCAAACAGAATACTAGTGCCCCCAACTGGCTTTATGTGACACCTGCAGCATAAAAGGAGGAAGAAAAAAATCTATGCACGCTGATTAGAGGTCTGAGTTAATGAAAAACAGCATTTTAGTGATAGACAGTGAGGTCAGAATTGCGTGAGTCTGTTTGTGTAAACTCGTGAGAATGATCCTTGTACCTTTTACTGCCTCTTATTGCTCCTCATAAAAAGTCAATCTACAAATTAAATGTATTTGTCAGTAAGAAACTTTGATTAGTCCCACACGCAATCAAACCCAACCCTGCATTGAGACATAATAAGGGTGGTGTATTTATATAACTGTTACCAGGCAATGGAATTGTAAATGTGTTCTTCCTGATTGACATGGGTTTCATAAACACGTAAGGGGCAGTGACTGTCTATTCTCTGCATAAAGATAAGGACAGACAGGCGTTCACAGCGGTGCTTACGACCGTTTTAACTGTATATCTCTTTTTGCGTATAACAAGATATATTTTTGTTTGGATTAACTTGTTTGCTTGTTTGGATTATTGTTTGGAATATTCTCTTTCAACTGATTTGTAATCATGACACTCCCCTGGTGTGGATAAAACTGGATATTGGAGAAAAAAGGTACTCTCTTTTGGTGTTTTTTGCTTGAAAAGTAAGGTAAATGCTTTGTAATATAATGGCTTTTGGTTACAGGAAAAGTGTAGCTGTTAAAGGCCTTAAAAATGGAGAACTTGAGAGCAAGAAAAAAAAACCTAGACGATCGGCACAAGTAAGGTCCAAGGTCTATTGTTCAAAAGATTGTTTCACTTTGTTTTCTAAATACTATTTTCGACTTTAAAAAAAAATAGATCTAAATTTCTCAATTACTCATTGAGAAAATTATACTTATTTTAAAGACAAGGATTAGTTATAATGGACTTTTTTTTTTACATATATCCTTCAACAAACAAACTACTGTATTTCTAGATTTCACTTTATGCTTACCTAGTGAGCATAAACATATGCTCACTAGGTAAAATCCTCCAGCTCCGGTAGTCCTGACCAAGCCGAGCATCAACACCTGGAGATGGGTTCCCGGGCGCTGTACTATGGCGACCACTGCTCCTGACGTAAGCCTTAGTGGCATCAGGATGGATCAAATGCAGAGGACAAATTTCCCTACAGGGACAATAAAGTGCACATTTATATTTTGAAGCAATGTTATAGCTAAAGAAAAAAAGTAGAATTTCCCATTTATAGTCTACAAATGTGATGAGAATCACATACTGCCCCTGACACTGACCCTAACCCCATAGTGTACTATTGATTCTAAATGATGTGTAATTTATTTAAACAGGTACATGGATTGGACTGAACTAAACATTTTTGAGATTTGAGTACAATCAATTAACCAAAAAACGTAATGGAAAAGAAAGTCATGACAGGGAATTATCACAAAACTCATTATGTCAACATACTTCTGTGCATATAAAGTAATGACAAAAAAATCACAATGTCATCAGAAATGTATGGCTAAATATGTTAATAATTTCAAATTAAATCCAGTATTTCCAGCAGCCCCCCCATTACAATCTCATCTAAAAAGGAAATATCTATACTAAACAAAAAAACATTGAAACAAAAGTGCTTTTTAGTTGTTACATATAAAACGCAAGTATTTGACGGCAGGTGCTTGTTTGTGGTTGTTGTGAATCGATGCGTCAATGCCAGCACTTAATAATAATAATGCATCGGTTTTATATAGTGCTTATTCTGGACGCTCAAAGACGCTTCACATGTCATTATTCTTTCACTCCATACACTGTGGTGACAAACTACTACTGTAGCCACAGCTGCCCTGAGGCACACTGACAGAAGCGAGGCAACCAGTATGTGCCATCGGCTCCTCCGAGCACCACCAACCATTCACACACACACCAGACTCATTCGAGGCAATGGGGGTGAAGTGTCTTGCCTAAGGACACAACAGCAGTTTGGCACTTTACAGGGGGGGTATTCCTGTGGCGCCAAAGTAATTGAGGAAGGATTCATAATTCACATCATAAATACTGTTGACTGACAGTTGCAATGGTTATATGGTTATATATCAAAGATCAATGTTGTGTTATCAGTTCACACCCACTTTAGAGTGACATCGAAGATTACATCAAGTATCTATAATATCAAGTAGAAGACATTTTTTATTTAGTTTACAATATAGGTAAACAAAACAAAAAAATGAAATAAGGTTTGCAGTCTTTGCACGGTTGTGTGTTCATTTGTTGACATGTCAGTTTCTCTCAGAGTCTGTTTTGGCATCCAACTGACCAAGACAGGGCTTCCGTTTTAAAATCCAGTTCTAAAACCATATTTATGAATTTGAAAAGGATTGTTGTTTTTTTAATCCCCTGGACGGACACCACTTTAACTAAGACATTATTTGAGGAGAAGCCTGCATGTCATTATTTTAGCCACATCTAAGATGTAACTATATTTTACCTAGCCACATGTGTATACTGTAGACTGAAAATAAGTTTGTTTGTTAGCTTAATTAAATAGTATTTGTTTACTCCAATGTCTTCCTTTTGCATTTGTAAAAGATCCAACCATGTCTTGGAAAAATCATTTGCAATGTATAACATATCACCTGCTATACTTTTCTCCAGAGGAACATGGGATCCATTCTTGTTGAACCCAGCAGGATCAGAGAAGGAGGAGAAAAGGACATGCTTCCGGTTGGCTCAATATCTAGTGACAGTGTTAGTGGGCTTGGCAGTACTGACCAGTGCTGTTATTGCAAAGGTACATTCCACACAACAAGGATGAATGAAGGAATATTATTATTTTTAGTCGTCAAGTAAAAGGTGTGTAACCTCAAATTTTGGTTACATAATTTTAGTAATGTTTATTTGTTTGTTTGTTTGAATATGTTTATGTGGCCATACCAGCTTTGTTCTTGTCAGATCTCAAAGTTTAAGAAAGATTTGCAGTCCATTAGAGAGTGGTGGTCTGTTTAGTGATCAGCACTAGTTCCACCGGAAAACTAGTTTGAGCTATAAGTTTGATTATTATTTCAAGTATGAAAAGGAATTATTACATATATTCTGTCTATGAAAAATGTATATTCGCAGGGCTCCTTGATTGTGCTGTCCACGCTGTCCAGTCCCCATTCTCTGCGCAGCGAAAAGGAGCAGCAGTTTTACATGCTCATGTTGGTCTTCTGCATCATCTTTCCAAACGTTCTGGTCTTCCTCAAGTCTCTCTGGAGATGTGCCTTTAAGAGCTTTGTCAAACCAAATCTTAAAACCATGTCTCTTGTAAGTTTCTTGTGTGGTAAATCTGCTTGTTTTTATATAAATGTAGTTTTGTTTGTCTGTAGTGTTAGTTCAGTATAACATTAGAGTTTATGAAAACAAGAACAAAAATCAACCAGATACAATCAGAGAATATCCAGTTCAAAAATAAAAAATGAAACTTTTTGAAGGGTCTCTATAGCAAAGAAAAATCTTAATTATTACTTAAGTGCAGCTGGCTGACAAATATGAACTCTGTGGCCACAATGTGGAAAAAAGCTACTAAAACTAGTAAAAGATTTATTTTGTAACATCAGCCAATGCTATTTATTTCCTCATAACCCTCCTATTATTGTCACTTTAATTCAATATTAGACAATAAATTATAATATATTATATAATTTTATACATTCTCAATCTGTTTTGCTCTATTGGCCTAACTATTGCGCGTTTACACAAATGAAACTGGTTTGAAGATTGCGCACGAGATACTCCACTGCAGATATAGAGCTTTTTGTACACTGTGTTTACGCCATAGACTGTATATATTTGGAGAAATGTGTGCGTAGTCATTTTCAAAATGACTCTTTTTGACATGGGTGATTGTTTAAAAAGTTGCAGATTGGAGCAACAGAAAATTAACGTATAGGTTAGCCGCAAAATCAGAGTATTGAGGAAGAAAATGCTCTGGCAAGAACGCTTTTGATTTTAATCAATTTTATTTTTCTATTTAAAAATAAACTGACAAAGGAATAGATTTTCCTTTATGCAGTTTAATCTAAATTTCCCCATGGAGCATAAGTGTAAAAGGAAATAAGCCTTAAAACATGCTTGTAAACGAGATGGCCCTGCCATTGTAAACAGTGAAAATGTAGCTTAACAGTTTTCTAATAACTTCTCTTACAGTGACACAATGCACCTTCAAAATAACTTAAAAACGCACAAACGAGGGCCATAGCAAATATATCAATCGCATTAAACACATGAATTATTTACATTAAATATATATTTTTTTAAACTAATGATTACTCTAAATACAATTGTTATAACAGAGAAAGTCTTTTACAAAAGCCTCCTCCTTCGGTTTTCATGCTTGTTCTTGCAACCGTGCCAGAGCAACTGTGCTGTAGTACATCGCTCAGTCCAGCTGGTGGCGCTAATACTAGCTTCAGTGACTACCACGTTGTGCGAGTTAAGTTTCCGTTTCTCTTCCTGTTTACATTCTGCTACTGTAGCCATGGATCTATTAGCAAACTACTGATCGCGTTGTTTGTATCAGAGCAATGATAGCATTGTGTGAGACGTGTCTTTCCCCAAAGTGCAGCAGCTCAGTGGGACACGTGTGTGTGTGCGCGGGGGCGCCGCTGACAATGGAGCGCGCTTTGGAGCGTGAGAAATGAATGAATGAGAATGAAATAATAAAAAGTGTGGCGTACGAGCAGAGCGACCGGAGCCAGGCAGGATATACAAGTGTGTGTTTGTGTGTTCTGGCGATTAAATAAAGTCTGATTCTTGAACGTCTGAAGTGTTATTGCCACAGCACCACACTGTGACAGGGTCAGGACAGAAGGGAGACCGTTAGCATTAGGGAGTTTTCAAAATAACTCAACACCCGCAGTTAGCATGTTAGCACTATAGCTCCGCGCTGGAGGAAAAAAAAAGATTATCATTAAAAAGAAATCGCCCAAAACGTCAAATTCAACTTAATAATTCAAATCGATTTATCGCCCAGCCCAAGGTTTACAATATCTATTGTGCAGAACTTGTGGCCTAAAATATACTTAATTAAAAAACGCAATATTATACATATACAATATACCTAAGCATGTAGAATTTTGATAAGAAACACTTGATCAATACATCATTTTAAGAAAAATAGAGTGATCAGTAGTGTGTGGTTAACTCGCTTTTTTTCCTCATCAGATATGGGCCATCGAGTGCCTGGTGTCTCTGGGGACCTCCATCTTGGTGCTGATTGTCATGCCTCAGTTTGATATTCTGACTAATCTTTTCATCAGTGGAGGAGTTTGCATGGTATCAGCACTTCTACAGATTGTGTTCAGACTTCAGGCCCAACCGTGGAAAATTGTGTTTCCACTTTGCTCCCTGGTTCTCACAGTAGCAGGTAGGAGAGCACAATATTGATGATAGTAAAAAATGATTACATTTCAACAATCCATCCAATCCAATCCAATGCTGATGATTAGAAGCAGCATTACTTTTAATACTACTAAAAACACACATATAAAGGGACTAAGTAAGGTTCAGAATATTATTCATCAGATTAAAACTACATTGAAGTAATTCCAGTGTATTTACGGAAGTAGCAGTTCGTTAATACACACTGTCTGTCCCACTCAAAATAAAATAAATAAAATAACTGAAATAAATGGTATGTTATTGATATAGAATTACAGATCGAAAGCATGTTTAGTGATTAAAATAAGGATCAGGGATTTTTGTTGTTTTGTTTTTCATCTGTAGACCTGTAGAAAGAAATGTGTCATCCCATTTAGAGCAATAAGCAACATTTTATATTGTAATGTTTGCAATAAATATATTTGACTGTGAATCATCTACAGGATACTCTTTTTTGGGGCTTGACTACTATGTCCGCGTAACATCATACGTGGACGCACAAGATAAGAGCTGCTATGCTTACATTGGCGTCGGAATTTTTTCATCTTTGCTCATCTCTCTCTGCTGGTGGGAAAATCCAATGCAAGCTACTAACAACAGTATGCAGGTAAATATAATGGATTTGAACTTTGTGGGATGTGGAAAGTAACATATAACTGTGAAGTGAAAGCAAAAGTATACATGAAATGTATTTATTTTGTTTTTTATAAAAAGTCATGCTCAGTATATTTCATTGCCTTTGGCCTCATCACTGAATGATCACATTTTGCCCAAACCATTATGGATGAGTGGGAAGAAGAAAGGCGTGTACCATTTTGATTTCACTTCACAGATGTTTGTAATTGTGTTACTGTGTCTTTGATCAAAAATCCAAAATATTACTTTTGTTTGTGTTCACACACATGACAAAATGTGCTAAATCAAGTTTTTAGTACATTTGTAAGCCTCAGTATACTTTATGTGAATGGTTTATATGATGTATTTTCATTATCTACCTACATTATGATAAGTGTGCCATCTTTCACTTTTCTCAGAGGTCGCTGAAGGAACTGGATGGATTTCGAGACTTTGTGTTTTGTATCAGCAGCGTTCTAAGGATCATTGTTATAGGTTACTATCTTGCATCATGTGACTGATACACAAAAGCAGCCATTTACGATTTGTTCTTCTGCATATTGTGTTATTAGGAGGCGTTTATCTGTTCTACTATTACCTTGTTGTCGAGAATAAAATTGTGTGGGAATATTTTGTAATGGAGGATGATGAGTGGGAGTTGCTGCAGATTGGACTAGGACTGTTATTTTTACAGGTAAATTCAATGAGGAAGACCCGAACCATTAGAAGGGTGAGGGGTAACCTCCATTGTATCAACACTAACATATATTTTGTCTAGGCCTTTTGCGCAGCTGCATGCCACTGGTTTGGTGTAGTAGCATGCAAAATCCATGCGGTCAGAATGGGTTTTGCCTTGCCAGTGTGCTGTGCAGGCCCCACTGTGCTTCTGTTGGGAATTTTATTGTTCATTACTCAGTCCAATGCACTGGCTGGAGCAAATGAAGATAGCATTTTAAGTGAGTTGTTTTTAATACATTAATGCAGTTGGATATACTGAACATGCAGTTTTAATGTGTCTTAAATACATTACAGAGTTTTGTGCAAGTCTTCCGGATCTCAATGGAAAAAACACAACTTCTTTGGTAATGTTAGAGATCTCCCGGAGCATTTGCCGCACATCACTGAACAGGTACAAAACATTGAAATAGTTTTTCATAGACTATGAAAGTCCCACTCACTTTTTGACGCTTTGATTGTTTCTCTACAATAGTCCTTATGGGAAGTGGCCGTTTGTTATACTGGCTATGGAAGGAGTGTGCATGTGGTGTGGATTTGTCACCTGCACTCACTACGTGTGGAAAACAAAGGTACATCGCAATCTCTATCAAAAAGATCTGTGCAATTTTAATAGACATTGATTTTTCCATCTACTCTCAAATATCGATGGTAATTAAAGTTGGTGACATGAGATACAAAATTCAAACTTCTAAGAACATAAACATCGTAGTATAAATTGATACAAAATACTGTAATATGTTTTTGGTCAGCCCAAAATAAATTCAAACAATTATAGATAATCCGATTTTCTTTCAATATGTGTCATTGTCCTGAATCCAACTACTGTCCACTTTGCTCCATCACCAATGTACAGCAACTTTTATTCATACTTATTACTCTATACCTGTGACGCGCAGATGTTTAGCTGTGTCACTTGAATAAATGAATAAATACCTTGCTGATGTGATCCATCTCTACTGCACACACACACACACACACACACACGTTTGACATTGAACTTCTATAACAAAAAGTACATCAAAACCTAAAGTTATGTAAATAAACACCAGGTCCAGCGGATTGAAAGAACATCACAGCTCTTTGTGCGAAGGCTGTACGAATCTTGCTTCATAGACCTGTCCCTGTTACTCAACACAAAGATGAAGGTGGCCCAAAACCAAGATGGGTAAATCCTGAATGTAAATAGTAAGAGAATAGTTTCCACAAAATGTTTTAATCCAAATTTTCCTCAACAGCCAAACCAAGATCGAAAACTGTGTTATTTACCTCTGTGCAACAATGTGGCATGAAACCTACGATGAGATGCTAAAGATAATCACATCAATGTTTAGGTATAAAACATCATCATGCAAATAAAAGGAATATCGTCAATAATAACGGTGAATGTTTCAGGCTAGATCGATACCGAGGCGATCCGGAGAAGCAACACAACGACTGCTTCAACTTTGAAAGCCATATCTTTGTGGACGATGCTTTTATGACTGACGAGGAAACGGGAAAAAGAGTGGTCAATTCTTACGTCAATGACCTAATTGACGTTGTCATTGAGGTTTACAGGTGAGGCGTATATATCTAGGGCTACAGTAATTGTTGTCAGACCAAACAAAATGTGAAGCAAATGATCCACTCCAAGGGCGCTGGAAGAGCTCTCATAACTTTGAAGTATCTCTTTGTTTTAATAATGCATATAATGCAATGTGCAGATATAGGATCTGAAGCTCATTTGAGTTCTTATAGAATATATAGAGAAAAGTATTGAGAATGCTACGCTCATGCCCTCAGTGATTTGTCTTATCTTTAGTCTGTTTTGTAAGGACAGCGGTGCAAAAACTCAGTTGAGACCATAAACTATCATTTAAGCTGCAACACTCTCACTGTACTAGAGGATCTGCTGTACTATTTCGACATTATTACATATTCTATTCATCTGATAATTCTGTTAATTTACTAGTCACTTTACCTGCTGCTATTATTACTATTGCTCATTCTGCTGCTAAAGTACAATATAAACATTTGTGAACACCTCATGATGTTGCTAACTACAGTGTATACTCCATTAGAGTACTTATGGAACAAAGTGCAATCCAGAGTTTTATTTTTTTATAATTTTATTGTTTGATGCAACATGAGAACTCTTATTTCCTCCTTACTGTATATTCTGCTGTATTGTGCAGGACAAGGACACTGAAATTTCCCCACTGAGGGACAAAGTTTTATTTCATCTGTTATCTTATCATAAAAGGAAAGCAACGAGAGCAGACTCTCTTACAGTGGACTGACCGAGTGCTGACATCACCCATACTGTTGCTTTAATGAAAACAGCCAATTTCCTTATACAGTCATCTCTTCCGCATCATTAGCTGATCAATGTTCACAATCTTTGTCTTCTTTGGTGATTTATAAATTGTGGCTCTTGATACACACGGTTTGTATATTTTACAAACCTAGGATAAAACCAAAGTCCTAAGCAGCACAAAGTGTGGTTACGCTGTGTGGTACAGCATCGCAGACCATCATGCTCTCAAATTACTTCTATTGTCCAAATGAATGTTGTTGAAGGATATTTAAAATCAAACAATTAGTCAACTAACAAAACAATAATGACTAATTTATTTGTTGGCATTCATTCAGAGTGTTCACTCACAAAGAGCCAGATGATGTTTCAATCATTGACACTCCGTATGGAGGCAGGCTTGTGGTCGTGCTGCCACAGGGAAACATGCTGATCGCTCACCTCAAAGACAAGACCCTGATCCGAAACAAAAAGAGGTGGTCACAGGTACACATGATCAAATGGTTGTAGGAGAAAAACATGTACTTTTTATCAAATGTTAATAATTCTTTGTATTTCTCTTTTAGATCATGTATCTATATTACCTGCTGGGCTGGAAAGGATATATTGCCAAGAATCCTCAAAAACTAAAAGTAGGGAAGATTTGTGTTTATTTGTATAGAAAATGGGATCTTTAATTGCGCTCATGGAAAGCCTTTCATGTTGTTTGATTACATCATCAGCTAAAAACAAAATTTCTCCTCTGTTTAGTACAAAAAGGAAAGTATTCGCTCTTTGGACCGTGAATGTTTTATCATGGCTCAAGAAGATGTTGAGATCAGCAGGAAACACATTTCAGATGAACACACTTACATCTTGGCTTTGGACGGAGACACTGATTTCCAGCCTAAAGCAGTGATTCTTCTTGTGGACAGGTAATAAAGAGAAGAATGCCCATGTTGCTCTGCTTCATTTAGAGCTGGGAACCTTTACAGTTTGAATAAATCGTTTTGATATTATATGAGGAAATTACCACATCAACTCACTTCTGGCTGTACCTGTCAGACAACAATTTTATGGAAACTCCACAGAGAATGTTTGAAGCAGACTATTTCACAACATGTTTTTATTTATTTATATTCTACTATGCAGTGATTATTTTTTTGTTCCACCATTTTCTTTGGTAGTAGTTTATCTTTTTGATTATACATCCGTACCAATTAAACAAATTCCAATCATAATTTAAATCATGTTCTATAATTTACAGGTTACGTATGTATGAAAATGTTGGTGCAGCATGTGGTAGGATTCATCCAACTGGAATGGGTAATTTTCAGCCTCTTTTTGTATAATGTACAAATTCTTTCATTTATTGATACCCTTGACTACCTTTGCATCCTTAGGTCCAATGGTGTGGTACCAGAAGTTTGAATACGCGGTGGGCCATTGGTTACAGAAGACGTCAGAACATGTGTTTGGCTCTGTGCTGTGCAGTCCAGGTTGCTTCAGTCTGTTTCGAGGCTCGGCTCTAATGGATGACAATGTGCTAAAAAGGTACACCACTAAGGCGACAAGAGCATCGGAGTATGTGCAGTATGACCAAGGTACTTACAAAATGTTAGGACAAGGAGGTTCATTTAAAGTCCTCTTAACGTTGTCTTAAACAGATTGATACAATATTTACTTCAATCCCTTTAGGGGAGGATCGCTGGCTGTGCACGTTGTTATTGAAGGAAGGATGGCGTGTGGAATACAACGCTGCGTCAGATGCATACACAAACTCCCCTGAAGAGTTTGAGGAGTTTTATAAGCAACGGAGAAGATGGGGTCCTTCTACATTAGCAAACACACTTGATCTTCTGCACAGGTTCATCTTCGTTTCACAACTGTTTTGTAACGTTTTAAAAAGCAACTCATTAGATATGATGGTTTGTTCCAAAATGCAGTGGTCCAGAGACTGTGAAGAAAAATACGTCCATCTCAAGGCTTTACATTTTCTATCAGATGTTCACTGTCAGCTCCTCAATTCTCGGACCTGCCTCAGTCACATTGATGATAGCCGGTATTCAGCTCGTTCCATAGATGCAGTTATGCCAGGATTTGAAAATGTAAATATTGCAGATTCTTTTTTATCCACAGGTGCTTTTCAGTTTATCTTCAAAATTGCTGGAACACTCTCCATCATCATAGCAAGCATTCCCCCAGTGTTTTATATCATCATCTGCTTTGTTACTAAAGACAGCACCCAATTAATCATCGCTGGGATTATGAGCGTATTCTATGCTTTTCTGATGACGGCTTCTTTTTTCTCCATTATTGGTCTGTATACAATACCTTCCATCAACATGAATCATGTTATAAAGATATTAATATAGTGCATGGTTGCAGGTGACATGGTTGTACAGGAGACATTCTTGACGCCAACTGGGATATTTTTGGTGTCCATGGCTATCATGTACTTGGTGACAGCTATTCTACACCCAGAGGAGTTTGGTACGACATACTCGCCTTTCAAGCCATTTTTTTTCTTCAAATAACTGATATTGGATTTAAACAACATGTTATGTATCTCTAGGGTTGATAATCTATGGCCTTATGTACTTCATCTGTATACCCAGTGGATACCTCCTTCTGACCATTTACTCACTGGTCAACATGAACAATGTGTCATGGGGCACAAGGGAATCCAGCAAGTAATGTATCAACTGTTTTAAAATGCCATGTCAAACGTTAGGCAAGGGTACGCAGGTTAATTTTGCACAAAAGAACAACAGAAATAGATGAGTGACAAGCACATACAAGCACATAAACATTGTCACTCTTTAGAACGTTCAGGAAAATCCAATAAGACCTCATTTTAGACTCATAAAACATAAAGATTTCTAACCCTTGCCCTTAAGAAATGACATATTGAACTGTATGCCCTTTTTCGAGACAAGCATTATCTGACACTGATGTCTTTGTTTCAGGGGAGCAGCAGAGGTCAAAACACTTCATAACGTCCTGTGTGACAAGAAGTGTCGTCTGTGCTGCTGGGACATGAAAATACAGGTACACCATAGCACCCTAAATATGTTTTCCAATCACCTAACTTCAACCATCTTCTTTTCAGGTAACGCAGGAAGCAGAGAATGTTATGTTTCAAAGTATCTCAGGACATCCCACACTCCTTGCCCCCGCACTCCTTGTCAACGACCAGTCAACAACACAAGAAACAGCCTTGATTCAGCAGAATGACAACTCACCAAAAGACACAACCGAAAAAGAAGAGGAAAAACCACTTAATTTTGAAGAAAGGAAATACAATCAGGTATCTTCCATTTCCAGGTAAGCAATATTTACTGACCATTCACTTCAACAACCTGATGAATATTATTTATTTAATCAACTTGTCACACTGAGTTGTGTTTGTGTATGTCTTTAACAGCAGTGATTACAGTAGCGATAAGAAGAGCATAATGTCATCCGATTTTGACGACGACGATTATGATGACTACATGTCCGAGCTAACAGAGAAAACACAACTTCCAATCCGTGGTAAGAAACTAGAAATGAAACCCAATTACACAAATAACAGAGGATGTTGTGAATTTTGTATCTTGTTTATACAGATTGGGTCAATCCTGTGAAAGAGAAGTTCCTAAAAAAGCTTACTTGCGCAAATATGGTGGTAAACCTGAAAGAGCAATTGAGGCAAGTAAACAAAATCAAGAAAATCTAAAAAAGACATACTGTACATCTTTCTTGCAAGGATTAAACAAGGAGACAGAGTGTGCTGTACAGTTGTATACGACACACTTTAGTATGCTAAATGGTTTGGGCAGTAGAACAATCCAGTGTTGTTCTTAACCAGAAATATTATTGTGTGTAGGTATGTAATTTCCTCTAGTGACGATGATCTCTATGAAAATCTGGATGTGACATTAAACGACACGCTCACCAAAGAGCTCAGCAGAGTTGGGCCTGAAGACATTCCTTCAAACAGCCAACAGGAGGAGCTGAGAGATGCACTCAACAGAAATGTAATAACACATGACCTGCTTTCTAATATCATTTTAAAAGACAACGTACTGAAAAACCTTCCTCTATCAGGCACGTCAAATCCTTAAGACCAACAATAAGAAGAAACTTACAGACAAAGTCTTGGGTGCAATCAGGAAAACTCTCACTGCCCCACAAGTCAAACAACTGGACGAGGTACACACACTTTCCACATACACACAAACGTACAAAGTCAAACTTGAAGTCACACAGAACAGTGGACGAGAAACATTGTTGTTGTCCTTAAAGGAATAGTTCACCGTTTTTACATACTGACATATGTTCTTACCTTACCTTAGACTAGTTAATACATACCTGTCTGGTCTTAGTCCGTGCGCTCTGTCATGCAAACGGAGCAAAAACGGGAGCACAACCGAAGCCTCCTCTGGTCACTGTGTAGGACCAAAAGGTAGCTCCCGCTAGAAGCTACCAAACTCTTCCAAGTGTTCCCTATTAAATGTATATAGTTACGTGACGTGTTACACTGCAAAGTATAGTAACACAGAAATGCGCGGACGTAGCGCTCCTCGTATTATTACTCCTCACAATATAGTACCCCTTTTTATCCGCTGAGAAAATTGACATGTTACATTTCTGTGTTACTATACTTTGTAGTGTAACACGTCACATAACTGTATTTAAATAGGGAAAACGTGGAAGAGTTTGTTAGCTTCTAACGGGAGCTGATTTGGAATTATACAGTATGTGGAAGAGGCTGCATTTGTGCTGTTTGCATGACAGAGCGCACGGACAAAGACCAGACAGGTACATATCAACTAGTCTAAGGTAAGAACATATGTCAATATGTAAAAACGGTGGCCTATTCCTTTAATGAACACGTCCCTCCGGATTGTAGCCATGGGCTAATTTGCATCCGTTGTCCCACAATTATGAATTGGGGTGGAAACCACAGAAATCACAGGTGAAAGAAAAATTAAAAACTCTCTAGGAATAAATGTTTGTTTTTTGCTTCTGGACATGTTTCAAATGTGTACGTAGGAGAAATCAATGGTTAAAACAGGAAACGCAATTGCAACATTTTTCAGAAAAAATCCATACTCTATTAATCTTGTGTTTCAAAATAATTGACTTATAGAAACAACCAAAACAGTAAAGAGTATAAGGTTATGTACAAGTATACTGTTGAAGGATTGGTTTCATTATTTGCATGGTATGATATTATATAAATTAATCAGATATTTAATTATTAGGATGAAAAGGACTTCTGGATTAAGTTATTAGACCGGTACCTGAAACCAATCAATGACAGCAAAGAACATCTAGATGAAGTCAGCAGAGAGCTCAAATCCCTGCGGAACAAGGTATTTTTTTATAATAATATTATGCCAAATAAAAACATATATATAACCTTTTTCTCTTTCACAGGCAGTCTTCCTATATTTCATTATCAACATTTTGTGGGTAGTCGCAACATTCTTTCTACAAGCAATAGGAAGCGACGTGATAAGCATTAAAATCCCCAAATATTATACTAATGGAACTTTATCAGGCGAATATCTCAAGGTGAGGCAAGACAACTTCTAAATGAACTGGAGTTGAGACTTTCTGTGTGTATGTGTTTTTACTCACTGTTGTTCTGTAGGTTGAACCTCTGAGCTTGATGTTCCTTCTATCCTTTGCCATCTTACTTTTGATCCAGTTCTTAGCGATGTTGTATCACAGGTACTTATGCGTTCTCGATCTAACAAAAAAGTTATAAAATTGTTAATTTCCTTTACTAAACTGCTCTTTTAATTAAAGGGTCTACACGCTTATTCACATTGTGTCTTATCGAAGCAAAGAGAAGGACTATCTCGAGAAGCCATCAACATATGTAAGCAGCATCCTCATGAAGGGAAATCTAAGCTGGGGTCCACATATGTGACAGAGGAATGGATGTAAAAACTAGAAATAGAACCAAACATTGTTGATTATCTACGCGGATTTTAATACATAGATTGTTAGGTTTAACATTTAAGTTACTCCAGTTTTAAAGGGGCATAGTGCTTTTTATGTGGAAACAAAATGTATTTTTATTGTACTATACCTAGTATTGACCCAGTGACTCAATACAAAGTATGAAATCAAATGTATGTGAAAAAATGTATGTTAAACTTCATACATTGCGTTCAGCTGGATCATACATTTAAAACAGAGCTGACTTCAACTATGGTTACCAGCCAACTACCATCGACTAAACCAACTAGCGTTACATGTTCGAGGGAGTTAACTAAGGCGGATTAATATGTTGATGACATTTGTAAAACAAGCCTACGAAGTGCACCTTAACTTCAATATTAAAAAACGACTGTCGATCCATCCATGGCTCCCAGAGACAGCACGTTTGCTCAGGTGTCCTGCTGACGGTGTCCTGCTGACGGTGTCCTGCTGATGGCGCGCGCGGGAGCTGTTTAAATGGCGGCTGCACGTGTCTAGATAGATCATACATATTATTTTGTTGAGATGGCACTTTACAGTCTGTGGATGGCACATTCAGATGACGCCGTACAACGTATTTACTCTGATTGTACACTTCCTGTTTAGTGATGGTCTACATGCTTTCTCTGTTCAGGACCCAGAGAGAGATGACTGCTACGTAGAAGAAAACCAAGGCTTCGAACTCACCGTCACAATGGATGATCTTCAGTCATAGCCATGGTCAACACACAAAAAACCTTTCCTTATAATCTCTGAAGTAGTACAAATTAAACGACTTGTTAATTATTGTGTTTGGATGTATGTTTTTGTGGGTAATAACAATAGAAAGAATACTTGAAGAAAATACTGGCATGAACAATTATTCTATTACTTAGTTTTGTCAAACTAATGCATAAAAAGTACATGATTTGTTAAGGAGTCATAAGATGAAAACCTGTTTAGCTAGCGTGATGTTATGCATTAGAAAATACATGTTTTAAGATGAATAATATATTAATTAGCAACTTATTAAATAATATACAAATTCGTATTATGAATGCATATTACTGGTTGTTTTGAAACAAAAAATGTACTCCATGTAATTGCAAATAGAATTGTTTTCTTCTATGTTGTCTAAAATGTTTCATTTGTGCATGAATAGACCATTAGCTTGACAGTATGACAACACTATTAAAAATACCAGACTCTTGAATTTTATTATTTTCTTTGAGGTTTCATTGCATTTATCCTTAAACACTACATATACACATCACTTTTACATCGAGATTAAAGTGAAGTGTCCATGTGATTTTCATCCCATTATAGTTTGTTTTGGAATGTAAGGTTTATAAACTGGTCTTTACTTAAAGATCATGAGGGTTTGTTAATAGTTAAAAATCAGAACAATACAATTCTTATACAAGAACTGAATTATGCACATGGTAAAAAGGAAGGTGGATATTTGTGATATTTTATGGTTATCAAGTTGTACAGAAAAATCAGTCCACAGATCAGTAATTAAAGGCTTGGCTAAAGCTTCGCTTTTGTCCTCCCCAATTGTTGCCGCCTCCACCACCACCGCCGCCGCCACCGCCGCCACCGTTCCGAAAGCTGCCGCTCCTGAAGTTTCTGCCTCTTCCTCCTCTGAACCCACCGCCTCTATCACCGCGGTTGCCGCCGCCGAAGCCCCTGTCACCACGATTGCCCTGCTTCTCCTCCAGTTCAGGGAGCTCTGTTGCTACGGTCAATTGCCAGCGTCGACCGTCCGTCCAAGACTCCTATTGAACAGCCAGAATGTTAGAAAGAGCCTCCGCATTTTAACTGACAGTTAACTTTACAGGTCCTACCTGAATATGCTTGACTTTGTCTGCTGGTACGTCAAAACAAACTCCCTGACAATTAATACAGAAAACATGAATTGTCATTGGTTCTATCATTTTATAATCTATTGCAAAAAATAAAATAAACATACCATTTTTCCTTTAAGGAATGTCATTCTTTGGATCTGATTCTCAAACTCCTCTCCAAGTTGTTCTTTAATGCTCCTCCATGCGTAACCAAGATTGTGCATTTCTTGTGAACAGACCATCTGCATAGTTGTGAATCCCTAAAAAGACAGTATCAATACTAAATCTCTCACCTATGACAACAACATTTTCTATTCTCTTACAGCATCAGAGTTGAGCAGTGAACGCTGCTCTAAACTCGTAGCTCCAGAAATATGGGCTAATGCTGCTGCTAGTGCTTCAACGGCTCCTTTTTCTTCAATCAGCTTTTCAGCCGATTCTCTGAAATAACCAATTGCAGCAACAGGTACTGAATCTAAAAATCTGAATATTGAAGAAACACAAGCATGAAAATTTCTTGATCAACAGTAAATTTGATTATTTTTTCTGGTTACTGCAGCACGTACTTGACTGCATCCTTACTGGAAGACTTGATAATTTCGTTAGCAGTTGGAACACCTACACGTCTAAATGTGATGCACTGAAAAGAAAAAAATTACATGTTAATGTTTGAGGCTTGTACCCAGATCACAATCCATCATTATATTTAACGGACAGATCAATCAATTCATCAATGTAGTTGCATTTATACACATCTCATGTATAAATGCAACTATAAATGTTACTTAACATTTCATTTTGTGTTATTCTAAACTACTAAGAATAACACAAAATGTTAAGTAACCAAAAGGAATCCAAAGTTCTCTGATGTCTGAAGAAATAAATGCAAGAAATCGAAAATAAGCAAAACTTACAGCTTTGTTTTCTACATAGCGCAATTGGTCCTCTTCTCTTCTCTGGTAAAAACAAATGCACACTCCAGTTCGGCCAGCCCTGCCTGTACGGCCAGAGCGATGAATATAAGACTCCACATCCTAAAAGACATGTTGAGTTTACATAAACCTGACATTGTTTGTCATCAGCTGGTTGAGTCAAAATAAATATCTCGTACCTTAGGAGGAGAACACTGAACAACAAGATCCACTTCAGGAATATCTAAACCTCGTGATGCAACATTTGTCGCAACAAGAACTTCAAAAGACCCATTCCTGAATCCTTTCAGTGTTGTCTCCCTTTGTTTTTGCGGAATGTCTCCATGGAGAGATTGAGAACTCTGACGAATAAATAAATAGAATATTAACAAAGGGAACAAGATTCCAGCTTTAGTAGCTTTCATAAGGTTGGACGATTACTCTGGTAATCCTCAAAATGTTACATGAAACAAAGCAAATCCTTAAAATATCTAAAAAATTAAAAAGACACTCAGACATCCAACGTCAGAGGCAAGACATTTTTGTGTAATGGGTGGGTAAAACGCTTGCCCAAAGATTTTAGGTGGCAGTTTGATTTGTGCACAAGATGTGTGTGTGTGACTAAATCCATATATTCTAAATTTAGAAAAAAAACATCCAAGCGCTTAATGTCTTATACCTGTTTGATCGATGTATTCATTGCAAGCTCAGTGGCCTCCTTCTTTGTCTCACAGAAGATAATAGTTTTCCCGTGTCTGCCGCTGTAAACTTGGATGACATCTCCTATCACAGCAGCTCGTTGTGACCAATGACAAGCAATAGCCAAATGCTGTGAACAAGGATTTATTTAAATACGTAATATAGTAGTTAAAAAAAATTCAAACAAATCTAAATGCTTACTTCAACTGTTGTTGCAGCCTTCTGCATTTTCTTGCCAATCAAATCGACATGTTTACAGTCAGGCCTCATGTATTTCTTTGCAACGTCATAAACCCATGGAGGGCAAGTGGCTGAGAACAGCAGTGTCTGTGGATTGGAGTCGGAATCTACCAAAACAACGTATAACAAAATGCTTACACACAGCAATACTGTACACAGGAACGTCACATAATAACTACATTGACTGCATGCGCACGCATATATATTATAAATAAATATAAAATCTCCCTGCTTGTTTCCAAGTGAATGGATATCACTGCTAATAAAGAGCAGAAATTAAACTGTTGAGTAAGAAACCTTATAATCTGTATTGAAATTACAAAACATAACATAAAACTAAAATTTACTGAATTAATAAAAAACACAACCCAGTCCACGACAAGAAGACTTAAGATCGGTGCACCTCAGACCAATCATGTTAACAATCTTCTATATTTTGTATCGGCCAAAACCGATCACATGGACTGTGGCGGCCTAACAGCACTATTTCACTGTCTATCATTGTGCTGAACAACAATGTCTCTTAAATCACTTGAGAGAACATTATGATTGTATTGAACATCTCCCATATAGATGAAAATACCTGCATAAGAAACTAATGCATACCTTTTTTATAAGAAGAAGCCAGTATCTCTTCAACTTGTTCTGTAAATCCCATGTCCAACATTTGGTCAACTTCGTCAAGGACAGCATGTTTGAGTTTTGACAGGTCAAGTTTATTGTTCTGAATATGATCTTTGATGCGCCCTGGCGTCCCAACCAAAATGTCAATACCGTTTCGAATAGCTTCGACTGTAAAAACACAAAATTATATTGATGAAGAAATTATATATACATACTGCTGTACAAACATAACTACCAGTATGATGATTTTTATTTTTACAGGGATAGTGTGCAATCCACATTAGCCAAAAGGAGAGATGCATTGTTACAGGTGGTAGCAGGAGTGACAAATTACACCTGTAGCTCCAGTAGTTAATAGTTTGCAGAAGTGATCTATTGAAGAGCAGTTACAAACATACCTTGTGGGTTGTATGAGCTCCCGCCATAAAAACATGCAATAGACAGTCTCTTTGCAATGTCTTTGAAGTCTTTTGCAACCTGGATGGCAAGCTCTCTGGTTGGTGTCAAAACTAAAACCTATAAAATCAATAGAATTGTGGTTTATTTTAAGCACAAGTCAATGCATTTTGAGAGTTTCATATTAATTACCTTTGGGGCACGGCCACGGGTTTTATCAACTCCATCTTTCTGGAGCTTCTCCACCAAAGGAAGAGCAAAGGAGAATGTTTTTCCTGTTCCTGTCCGGGCTTGAGCAATTACATCTCCGCCATCATACACTGAATCAAAGGTCTTCACCTGAATGTCAAACAGGTACGAAACACCACGAGCTAAATTATAGGGAGAAGAAAAAATTACCAAAATGTGACAGAATTAAAGATGGTTATAAATTGAGGGGTAGAAGTATACTTTACAAATTACCTTTGAGCTTATCTATGGTGACCTGGGATATTCTGAAGTTCGAAAAGGCACCTTCTTTCTGTTCTAGCGTTTCCGTTTCCTACATCATGAAAGAAAAATAAATCATTATAATTTTCCTCCTTATCAAAGAGACTTGTGTCAACGTGCTTACAACAGTTTCTTTCTCGTTGTCACTGGGAGAGTCACTTGAATGAGATGGTGTTTCAATTGGCGTCACAGCAGGGCTACTCATTAGGGAGTGACCATTGGTTTCTTCAATTATAGCAATCTTTTTCTTCTTTTTTTTCTGGAGCACAAGCAGCAACCAATATAATAAGTATTAATAATAACATTTACTAGTATTATTACTAAATATATTATAGAATAAATTGTTAACTTACCTCTGAATCTGACTTTTTCTGTGGCTTTGCAGTTTCTTCTGAATCAACGTTGCCATTCATGTCTACGCATTCATTACTGTGGTCCTTAATTTGTTTATCTTTCTTCTTCTTCTTCTTGGGTATTGGAGAGTCAGCATCTTCCACCCGTTCCTTCTTTTTCTTTTTCTTTCCCTCTTTGATCTTATTCTACAAGAGAAAAATGCCATATGGTCATCATAACAAGCTTTATTGGTGGTAAAAGAAAGAAATGAGGACTAAAGTGCATATAAAAATTCCCGTACGTACAAATAATGTGCAGTATAAATGCATAAACAAAAATGCAACAAGTTACGGTGAAAAGGAAAATTATATGCCCCATTTGTTTTGTAAATACTTGGTCAGCTGTTTTGTGTCGCGTCATCAATGAGCGACAAACATCGGCATCAACCGTAATAAATACTGTTATTACAAAGTTGTCACCAGCAGTTAACATCATTGCAGTAGTATTTAAGTAATTCATAATAAAGTAAGGTATTTTAATCCCATAAAATTCATTATATATCTTTTTTGTTGCCACGTGTTAAAGAGGCTAGCCTATTAAGCTAGCCATGTCGGATTTTCCATATAACAAACGCAGTAGAACATTTGTTATTAGTTACTTCAAGTCATGCGTTTTTCTTATAAAACATCGCGTATACTTTAACAACGACACGACTCAGCGATGAGCAACAGCTTCATCCAGTGTCTCTTATATACTTAAGTAAAGCACATGTTCATCAGACAGCCTGACCGCCAGTGGTTTGGGGATTTAAGAAGTTTGGCAGGTTATTTTACTCACATCAGAGGGATTATCTGGTACCGCGGAGTCTGCTTCTCCTTCCATTGCTTCGTACGCGTCTTCAAAAATAATTTTGGTAGGCATTACTCTCTTTTTCCTCACTTGATGTAGTCCACCTAATCTGCGGAGTTACAGACAACCACGGGCTTGAGACTGAAAGGAACTCACGCGAGGGTTCACGGGACTTTGGGCTCGGGATGCTGGTTGAGGCCGCATCCAAATTCTTTTTTTTTTTAACTCCTTCCACCATTTCCGTTCTCGTTTTATTGACCTTTGTAGCATATATTGTGACTTCAGTGCAAGGATTTAATAGCTGTTATAGATGGATCATCTATAAAATATCTTACATTTCATTTGACCAAACCCAGTTCTGTGTCACAGACAATCCGTTTTAAACCGCACAAATGGATGAAGATGGTAGTTTTTCTTAACTTGGATGTAGAATGAGTATCCTGCATATCTGTTTTTTGTCATTAATAATCAGAATCAGAATCAGAATTATTTTTATTGCCACGTAAGTAACAGGGGGTCACAGACTAGGAAATTGCTTTGGCTCAGTGCAACAGTCAAAAAGAGATAATAAAAATAAGAATAAAAAACACTTCTAAAGAATAAATTTAAATTTAAAATAGAGTTACAGTTACTATTTATAATATACAAGTGCACATGGTGCACACAATGTAAGGTGACAGCAGTACAGTGAAGTAAAGTGACGTATGATGGGCAGTAAAGTGACTTTATAAAGGGCGGGGGGACAGGTTAAAGCTGCACTAACTGCCTTTGGGATTTTGAAGCCGTGGACTCGCTGGCCTCTCTCTTTCTGCTCCCCTCCCCGCACCCACGAAGCTATCGCCCCCCACACACACTCACTGTTGGGACGGAGCTAGTGTCTCCCAATATGGATAATACATGAATATGGATTTGCACGTGGATGGCGTGACCATAAAACGATAGAACCGGGAAGCGCGGAGGAACGGGACTGTCTTTTGGATGGCTGTTTCGCTAAGTAAGCAGTAACCGGCGATGAAGACACGAAGCTTCAGGTTAGCTCCTCGGCTTGTTGTGCTAACTCAGCTGTCTGTGCTAACGGACCTGTAGATTTCTCACGAAAGTGGGGGCCAGTGGTCCGTTGTGATTGGTCACAATCTGCGACCCGAAACACATTCTCTTCCTTGTTTCATCAAAACTCGATCTAAAATATAATGTCACGCCAGCATAAATCTGCGCTAATTATTCTTCAAAAGGACGTATATCCCAATGCACTACATGGACATGGATTGAGAATGAGGGATCACGTGATAATTTGGGCGGGGTCTAATCCGGTCGGCCATGTTGATAGGATCCTCCATCGGTTGCCAGGGGCAACACCACTAACGCTAACGCTCCAGAGGTCTTTAAATTGAGCACGTTTATTAGTTCGGCAGTAGATACATCTACGATTACAACACTAGCAAGACAGTTAATGGAGAAAGTGAAGGCGAAAGGAAATGGACCGTACAGGGAAAAGCTTCTACCCACGGCAAAACAACGTTATTTGGAGAAGCTCTCAGACATACAACAGCTAGACCCATACGAGCTTCCTGCAGCGGAGTGGCAAAAAGACCTAGACTTTTTGCCTCCGTGCACGTACATGGATATAGTGAATTACCTTGTTTTCGGTGTTAGTTATTACACAATGCAGGAGTTTAGAAGTCACAAGTCACTGGAGAGAGTTACGAGGCTTTCTGCTGTGGTTGGGTGCAGGACATGGCCATCTACAAGCCTCCAGGCGGTGAAAACACCGTTGTACTTGCAAAGGTAACATAAAGATATTTTAGGACGTACCCGAGTGAAAATGCAGAGAACACACTCTCATCGACTGGGGGTGAGATCGAAAGTAAGGTCCTTTCTTCTTATTGCAGCCAACCAAGCCATCCGGCGTCTCTTTGTCAGGTCAGACACTTGCGCTCCCTGATGTTGTATCCATTTTGGTGGCCTAAAAAATTGTTAACCGTTGTTCCTACGTTTTCCTTTCTTATTGTGTGAGGTACTGGAGCAGTTTTTCACACAGCAATGAGCTCCAGGCATGGTAAAACAGAAATAGCGATGACCTCCTTTGCTACCGAGTTAACAACAACTGTTTGCCGCTGGGTGGGATCCTACCAACATGGCGGAGACGGGGAGGGGCTCTGTGCTATGACGTCAACTCCTCACTCTCAATAGCATTTTCGTAATGAATACGAAAATGAAGTCAGTTAGTGCAGCTTTAAGAAGTGTTCAAGAGTCCAACAGCAGAGGGGAAGAAACTGTTCTTGTGGCGGGAGGTTCTAGTCCTGATGGACCGCAGCCTCCTGCCTGAGGGGTGTGTTTGGAATAGTCCATGTGCAGGGTGAGAGGGGTCGGCTGTGATACGACCAGCCCGGCCTCGAGCTCGGGCGACGTACAGGTCCTGCAGCGATGGAAGGCTGCGGCCGATCACTTCCTCTGCAGAGCGCACGATGCGTTGTAGTCTCTGCTGGTCCCTGACTGTGGCTCCAGCGAACCACACGGTGACGGAGGAGGTGAGGATGGACTCGATGATGGCCGTGTAGAACTGCACCAACATCTGTGCAGGCAGCTTGGCTTTCCTGAGCTGCCGCAGGAAGTACATCCTCTGCTGGGCCTTCTTGATGAGGGAGCTGATGGTCGGCTCCCACTTGAGATCCTGGGTGATGGTGGTGCCCAGGAAACGAAAGGACTCCACAGAGGTGATGGGGGAGTCCATCACGGAGGGTGGGGGGGGGGACTGTGCTCTTCCTGAAGTCCACAATCATCTCCACTGTCTTCTGGGCGTTCAGCTCCAGGTTGTTACCACTGCACCAGGACACCAGCCGGTCCACCTCCCTCCTGTAGGCGGACTCATCGTTGTTGGAGATGAGTCCAATGAGGGTGGTGTCGTCCGCGAACTTGATCAGCTTCACGGCGTCGTGGCTGGAGGTGCAGTGGTTGGTGTACAGCAGGGGTGTCAAACTCATTTTGGTCCGGGGGCCACTGTTGTATATTTTAAATATAGACTAAAGGCAGATGTGAATTTGATTGACCCGGAATTGAACTCTTGTCTCTTTCCCAAGCAAAAAGACCTGTGCCCTCAGGGATTAAGTCACAAGGACACAGGATAAGCAGACGGGAATTATAAAAAGATATCGCCTTTGAACAAGGCGAATTATTAACGTTCGATAATAAACATTATCTGCTGACAGAGCAAAAGTCCCTCACCATCAGGCGGAAAGGGAATTTACCAACAGCATTCTAACGCCTCCCAGTGGACAAGGGACGTCAGCACACCCGAAATGAACATTCGGGAGACGCCCACAAGTGACGTCATCAGACGTCTTGATAAAACTGTTGGTTTGAGTTCTGGGGGTTAGGTTAGCGCAGGGTAAGAAGAGAGGGACAGCATAGCATAGTTTAGGAGCTCTCATTTGTTTGAATATTCTGTATCTGATTGTAAAGATAATTAAATGCAGATGTTAAACTTGGAGAATCTTTTTGTCTGATTTCTGTATCAAATTGTGGACACGCCAGCCAAAGGGAATTATTGGCTTCATTTGGTGACCCGAGACGTGATTTGATACAGAAAGAAGACGCAAGATGAGCTCAGTTATAGAGACTGGATTTGTGGGTTTGGAAAAATCTCTCTGCTCTTCAAAAAGGTCGCTTCTAAGGTAAGCGGATCACAGTTTTGAAAATCTGCACATTGTTTTAAATAGAAGAGAGAGAGATTTTGGCTCGACAGATTGCAGTGTGGACAAGACCGCCGTGATGGGCGATTCTATCGGACGCGATAGAACAATAGTCAGGTTTTTCGACGTTTTTGAACCTTGAGGGATGCTGGTCTCTCTCTAAAAAAGAATATACGGGAAAAGAGCCACAGGATTTATAAGTGCGAAAGAGGCACACCGTTTTAAGGTGCAAAAGAGGCACAAGTGTTTAGATAAATAGGATTAGAGAAATAGGGACAGTTAGGGTCAGAAGTTATAGGATAATAAAAACTCCATATCCCCCGGGGGCGGGGAAAAGGGCACAATTAATTTAAACAGAAGAAAAGCCAAGTATTTAAAATGTGGATTCTGATAATAATGATCTGATTAATGAGAAAAAAGAGAGCCTCTTGGCTGTAGTATACGAGTTTCATGTGAAGAAATGATCACTTATGGAAGTTTTTCTCTTATCCTGATGTAATGTTTAATAGTTACAGAGAATCAAAAAAAAAAAAAAAAAAAAAAAGAGATTCTGCTGGGACTATTAATCATGTAGCAAATAGTAATGTTTTCCATTACTGACGTATTTAAGGATAAAATGTAAAGTGTCGTTTGACGTGAGCAAAACTTTTACCAATGATTTAAAACCTTGTCACGAGAAAAACGAGGAAAGTATTTCAGACTCCATGCTTCCTTTGTTCGGGAGGCCCCTCTCTCTCTCTCTCTCTCTCTCTCTCTCTCTCTCTCTCTCTCTCTCTCTCTCTCTCTCTCTCTCTCTGTCTCTCTCTGTCTCTCTCTCTCGTGAAGAAAGAATTTTTTGTAGAAAATTACATTTATACACACGATAATGTTACTGACATGGAGTCATAGGATCACAGAACTTTGAGTTAGATTATAAAGAGGCATTATTTTATATTTTATTTTTTATCTGGACAAGTTTTTTTCCCTACATTTTGGTGATATAAAAGTTAGAATGATCTTAGAGAGCATTATGCTTTTGGAAAAATAGGGCTCAGGATAGCAGTTGAATGCAGAATTGGTTTTCAGAATTTAATGTTTAAAATGTTAATATTAATTATTTCATAGGTTTATTTTGAATTGTAATTAATCATTGGTTTCGTATGGTAATTAACACACTTGTTTGTGCTTCTTGTTTGTCTGTTTTTTCCGAGAAAACTTCTGTCTGTTTCATTTGGCCAAAAATCGTCTCTGCCACAAACCACAATCGGGCGCCATCAGCACGGACCATCAGCGTCTCCCCCAGACCCACAGGGGGCACCAAAGACAGCAGCATCGGCTGCAGCAGCTAACAGGAACTCTCGAAGA